TAAATAAATATACTAAATATACTAAAATATACTAAATAACTATACTAATAAATACAAATAAGAATAAAATAAAATAAAATAATAAAAAAATTATGAAAGTGGAGGAAACCCATGGTAACAACGTTAATAAACCAAAGAAATAAATTTTATTTCAAGGTTTATCTTTTAAATAACAAAGAAAATTAGTCTGTATAAATATTTTTTATGTAGTTTGTTTTTATTTGTTACAAAAGTTATTACTTATATGTTGATGTATTACTATTTTTATATAATTTAATATTTTAAAATAGCTATATGAATTCAAATCCTCTTGTAACCAATAAAAATATTAATAATAAGTAACAATACTGTAAAGGATGTGAAAAAAATTTATCTTTAAGTTCATTTACTACAAACGGAAACTCTTATCATACTTGTGATACTTGTAGAACTCAAATAAAGCAGTTTATCAACGAAAATTAAATAAAAAGTAAAATTCTGTAGAAGGTAATCAAACATCAATTGAGTTTGATGATTTTCATGATTTTATTTTTCAAAAATTTGAAAATACAACCAATAATAACGAAGAACAAGAAAATGAATGTGAATTTAAAGTTTTCTGTACTTTAAATAATATTATTTTAGGAGATAATTTTAAAGAAAGGCTGGTCATATTATAGAAATAATATCTGATGTAGATGAATATATTTGGGTGTAAGTTGATTTAATTATTATTTATATTGTTAATTTAAAGTAATTTTATTTGACTTTTAATTTTTTTATTTATAATTAATTAGATATAATAAGCGTTATAATACAAAGAACTCAAAATCAATAACCTATTATTATTATTACTGTTCTCAAAGAGATTGTATGCATGAAAAACCAAAAAAAAATTTTAGATATTAAAAAACAACGTGATAGACAATCAATAGAACGTTTTTCTTGTAATGGTTTTATTAAAATTACTTTCTCTTTCTATGAAAATTCCACATTTTCTAATATAGAAATACACCACATTTTGCATCATGTATGACCAAACATTATAATTTCACCTGAAATTAAAAGTTTTATATTGGATAATCTTGATTTACTTCCACGAGAAATTTATAAAAGACTTGTTGAACGTGGTTTAAATATTAATATTTGTCAAAAGCAAATTCATTTCTGGTGGACAGAACTTGGTAAAAGTAGATTTAAACGAAATGAAAATTCTTTTCTTTCTGCTCAAAAATGGCTTGAAGAAAAATCACATCAAATTATATTTCAAAAAGATGCACCTAAAGCATTTGGATTTCTAACGGAATTATGGAATACATTGAAAAATTCTCATTTTGAAATATGTGAAATTGGTGTTGATGCAACGTGTATGTAATTTTTATTAAATACAAAATTAATATTTATATTATAAATTATTTATACTTATATTTATTTTTTAGATAATACAAATAATTTAAAGTTCGAATTATATGTTGTACATGCTGAAATTGATGGTATGGGTTTTCCATTGGCATCTTTATTTTTAGAAAACAATGGTAATTGTGGAAACTGCAACTTTAATTGATTTTTTCTTACAATTAAAAATGCGTGGACTTGAACCCAGTTTTTTTTAACTGTTAAAGACTTTGCTCAAATCTCAGCAGCACGTTTTGTTTGGAAAAATATTAAAATACAATTATGCCTTTGGCATATCAAAAGAGCTATAGAAACAAGATTTTCAAATAATAAAAAAACACAATCCAATTATAATGGAATAACAGCACAACAACAATTTTCATTTATTGATCCTTCATTTAAGCCACCTTTAACAAAGGATAAAATAAACTTTTGTCCAAAAGAATTACGCTCATTGGTATGGGAACTAATGAATAAACATTTACACCAATATCCTTTAATTCCAGCTATTGAAGGACAATTTCTTTCTTCAAAATTAATTTGGACAACTACAGTTCAAGAAATTTATAATTTTTATTAACAAAATTCTTTACCATGGCTTTGGGTATATTTATGGAATGAATGGTATAGTTCAGAAAGATGGAGTTTATGGTTTAGAGCAGGATGTGATAATAAGATTTCAATATTAAAGACAAATATGTTTGTAGAAGCTCACTGGAAAGTTTTAAAAAGAGATTTTTTATATAAATTTTTTCGTCCACGTTTAGATTTAGTAACATTTATCATTGTGGAACAAGTAATTCCTTATCAACAAAGGAGATTTGAGCAAATATTTATCGTGAAATGGGAAAAAGCAAGTTGGCAAAAATCATTTAAAAAAGAATGGAAAGAACTTTCAACTCATATAATTAATCATAATTCATATTCAACTAACATTAAAAACTGGATTTATGGATGTCCATATTTTTTCACTAGCCATTTTCTTATTTGTAAACATCTTATACAACAAAAAGGAATTGTAGATGTTCAATTTTTTGATCAAATTCATCGTCATAACCAAAATTCTTTTATTAATATATCATTTGCACATACTAACGATTTTAAGCAATCTACTTTTCAAATATCAAGTATTGAAAATATTCAGGATGAAGATTCACAAGTTTATGAGGATATGTATAGTAGACTTTGGAGATACTCAAAGATCAACAAAGCAAAAAAAAATTTCAAATGGATTAAGGGAGTTGAAAAAAATTTCAAGTCAATAGAAGAAATGTTGAATGAAATTTCTGTATACAAACGAAGAAAAACAATGCCTCGAACTTTGAAGGATCATTCACATAATACATTATTTTTTGATTAAATTTTATAATTTGGTAAATATTAAGAGTAAAAATATCATTGAGTTTAATTATATTTTTATTTATTTCAATGTAATAATCATTATTAACATAATTATAATTAATTTTAACACAAAGTGCCATCGATTATTAGTTTTTTTTATATAATTAAGTTAAGAATGGTATTAAAGTTTAAACAAATTATAGAATTGTTATAACGATCGTTTATAAAAATTCTAGATTAATAAGATCGTTCTGGATTAATAATAAATAAACTTCTAGAATTGTAGTTAAAAAAAAATAAATAAATAAATAAAATATTAATGTTAAATTTTTCGTGATTCTTTTTAAATAATTATTTTCCGGAAAAAATAAATAATTCGGATTGGGCACAAATGATAATAAATGATAATCACGTGGGATGAAATTTTTTATGGGTAACAACAAAGTCAAGTGAGTTCATGAACTGGATTCCCATATTCTCAATTTAAAGATATAAAAGGTGGTTTTGGTGTAGTAAAAGTGCTATTTGGATCAGAGATGAAGAAGATAAAATAAAGGTAACACTTAAAAATCTACATAATTCTAAAGAAATGACCGGTGATTTTTTAAAAGGAGAACGATTTTGATATCACAAATGAGTTTTGTGATTTTATTCTTTATTAAAATAGTTGTTATTATTGCTCAGATTATTGTTGTATAGTTTTTTATTCCTTTGATTTATTTAAGTATTATTGTTTTATTTTCTGATCTATTACTTCTTTTTTAAAATTTTATATCTTGTTAATGGTTTTCTATTAAAAATAATATTAGTTAGAATAATATTCATTGTTGCATTTGAAGTAATCTAAAATATTTATTTAATAATAATAATTAGCTTATTATTTTTAATGATAATTTTTTGAGTAGAGAATTTGAAATAGTAATATATGTCAAATAGCTGGTATCTTTGAGAAATAGTAGACCAATAATTTTTGCCCTATAAAAAATAAATGTTCATCAATTAAATGTTTCTTTGTCCAGAAATTTGTATATTATATTTTCATAATGCATTCATAGAATATACTACATCAGAAGTTATACATAAAATATAATTTAATTCTTTCAATTAATTAAATAAATATCTGGATAAATTGCATTTTGATCCCATTATTTTGACTTTTGACATAATATTGCCGATAAGTCTCGGTGAGAGTTTTTTTACAAGTCCAGGATACTAAATTAAATTGACAAAATAAGAATAATTTAATATATATCATAATATTCTTAAATAGATATAATAGAAACAAGTATCTTCAGATCCCTTGTCATTGTGTGTATGCATGAAATATAATATTTCATATATGTACATAATTGCTCTTCCTCCCTTTGAATTAATTTTTTACCATCATTTGATCTCAATTAAAATATTTCTTGAATTATTTATAAAGATTATTTATTATTTAAACTAACTTTCATTTCCTCCTTTGCAATTCACCTATACCAACAATCAATGGTGTAGGTACTGTTCCATTTCTCAATCCTCTTTCTTGTCTTCCACTTTTGTATTGCCTCTAATCTAACTCTTTGTTTTCTATGCACATATAAAACATCCATTCCTTTAGGTCCATAAATATTATGACCTGATATACTCATCAAATCAACATTCATCTATTAACATGAATCGGTATTTTCCTATCGCTTGTGACTACATCAGTATGGAAAAATACTTTCTTGGAACGACAAATTCGCCCAATTTTCAATTGGTTGCTTCTTATAATTGAAACGATTGTTGTGTCAGGACGAATGGTTTTAGCAAAAACATTTAAATCTATGAGACTAGTGGTTTTGCGGGACAATAAATGATTTTAAAGTCTTCTTCACCTAAAACACGACATGAGTCAAGTACACATTTGTGTTCATTATTAAAAAATGATGATATCGTTCATTTGTTATAAATATTATTTTTTACATATTATTATTTATTAACATTTATAGTACTTACAATTTGAGTAGTAATTATATGTTTCTTGCTACTTTTATAAAATCGGGCAACATCTTTACCTTTGGCCACTGAATCGAATAACATGAGTCTTAAAGATAATTTCTTTGGGATCTATACCAATTACGTATCATTAAAAAAACGGAATATTTGGTATTTAATCCAATATTTACATTTATGCATTTGAAATGTATATCCTCGATCTTTTTCAACAGCCTTTTCTGCCTCCCAACCATAGGAATGTGTTCGTGAGGATTACCATACTGTTGCGTGAAATATGGCACCATTGCATCAAGCACTCGTGGGTTATAGCAGGCATATCAAGGTAAATGGGTCTATATTTTTTTCAAACCCTAAGGATTTTAAAAATTGGATCAATCATATAAGTTATAAATTGTTATTAAATTAACGAAATTAAAAAATAACAAAAAGAATAACATTAGAGGTGTAATAAAGGTGTTGACATTTTTAATAGATTAGCATGATTCTTGGTAAATTATTGAATAATGATGTCAAAAATTGATTACAAGAGATTACGTCACAAAATTGATTACGAAATTATTACACTGTAATAAAGAAAAAAATATTACGTGGTGAGAAAAAATATTTTTAAACATTCGAAATACAAATAAAATTTTTTAAATGGATAATCCTTTAGAAGAAATTTATCAATTGTTTTATAACATTTTAGTTGATCCTGATAAATCTTTAATAGAGAAAGAATTCAATAGATGCTTTGCTCCCGATTTAGAATTTAAGCATTTTTTAGTATTTGTTCCTCCTAAAAAAGGATCCAGAGATTCTGTTATTCGAGTTTTTCGATTTTATCGAGGTATGAGTGGTAGAATCTTTGAAGGATTTAAATAATAATAATTAATAATATCATTTTATTTTTATAAACACATTTTTAGGATGTTACCTTAATAACAATCTAGTTATCCATGATAAGTGTAAGTTGTTCTTCTTCTCCTCTTAATATCAAAGCCTACGTTTTCTTCAACATTGCTAACATTGCTAATATCTTAATCAGGGTTCGACGAAGAAACCGGAAGGATGGTTCTGAGTGCGACTCAATATCCCAAATTTTGGTTCTTTCCGTGGACAATCATTCCATTAAGGTAATAAATTTACTACTGCATATGTACATTTCATGCTATTTATTTATTTATTTTCTATATTTTCTATACAACAGACTTGTCGCCATTTTCGATATAAAACAAAATGGAGAAAAATATTTTATTAGTAAACATGAAGATTTCTTTCAACCGGAAGTAATAATTGGACCATTTTTTCCCCATTTGGGGCCTTGGATGGTAAACAAATTAAAAAGATTTTCTGTTGGCTTTTCTATTCTTTTTAGTTATGCTTTCGAAATGATTGGGTGGAGTTGAATTTTATACAATTCACATGAAACGTTAGAAATTTATTGTATTTAGTAATCTGGGGCATATTGGACTATTGTTTTTATTCCGCTTTTCTTTAAAAAAAAAAAATTTTTTTTTTTGAGGTATTTCTCGTAGTTTATTCAAATAAAATATTCATAAAATTTTATTGGTAAGATTATGTTTAATACATTTGTAAATTAAAATAATCATAGACGCTAATTAAACCATGAGATGTACCAATAAAATTATATGTAGGTTTAGGGAACTAATTAAGATACATGCAACTGAAAAATAAATGCCAATTAAAGCTCCTACAACATGTGTACGAGCCACAAATTTTCACTTAACCAAGTTAATAAATTATTAGAAATAATATCAGATAATGATTATTCATTAAAGACTACGAGAAACTTATCAAAAGTTAGAAAAGTATAATGAAGCATTAATAGATTTAAAAAAATTTACAGAATTAGGACAAGATAATTATCTTGCATTAGAGTTACGAGTGAAAACTTATCAGATGTCATAAAAACATAATGAAGAATTATCAGATTTTGATAATTTATTAGAAAAAGAACCAAATAATTATCATGCATTAAGATTACGAGGAGAAACTTATTAAAAACTAATAAATGTAATGAAGCATTAAAAGATTTTAATAAATTATTAGAAAAAATTCCAAATTATACTCCTGTATTATGTTTACGAGGAATGATATATCAGAAATTAAATAAATACAAAGAATCGCTTAATGACTTTAATGAAATACTGAAAATGAGTCCAGATGATATTTTAATATTAATAATAAAGTGGAGAAAATCAATAATTGATACTAATTCACACTAGATCTGAATTGATTCAAGTCATTACAACAAAGTCAAATGAATTTATAAACTGGATTACAAATTCTCAGTTTAAAGATATAAAATATATAGCAGAAGGTGGTTTTGGTATAGTAAACATGCTATTTTGAGAAAATGAACTCAAAAATCTACATAGTTCTAGTGTATAATTGATGATTTTTTGAAAGATGTCTGATTTAAATTATAATTATTTTCAAATGCAATTATTTCATATGGACCGATTTGTCTCATATCACTAATTAAATTTTAGTGATTATCCCGAATTTTGGTTTTAACACATGACTAAAACGTGACAATATGAGATATTAAAATGTATAAACCAATTACTAAAAAGTTTTTGCATTGAAATCACATCTTGGAAATCCGTTTTCATTGGAATTGTCTGTGAAATCAGTAATTAAAACTATGAAAAAATAATAAATAAATATATTTTTTGTTTGTAAAACATAAAAACTAGTTGAAAATCAATATTCTAATGATAGAAGTTCAAGATATAGAAAGTGGTATTGATAAAGAAATCGTGATGTAGGTGATGAGAGTGTAGAAGGTCAAAATATAGAAAATCAAGTTTTAGAAGGTATTTGTTTAAATATATTTTTATTTATTTTATTTGTTTTATTCTATTTTAAAATACTCTAAAAATTCTTTTTATTAGCAAATTCTTTCTCCAGTCATACTTTTATACATAATTATTTAAAAAATCCAAGAATTGAGTGGTATATTTATAATCTAATTAGATTATAAATATATCACTTGATATGGATTATAACCTATTCGAGAATGACATGTGTTTTGTTTTTTAGGTCACACTTGAGTAATATATATTTTGTTTTTTAGACCACATATCAAAGTGGTGTGATTTATTTTTAGACCACACACCAAGGTAATGTGATTCATTTTTTTAGGCCATATACCAAGGTGGTGTAATTTATTTTTTATGCCATATGTGAACTATCATATATCAGGTTGATAATCTAATAGATTTCTATCATCAATTCGTATATGATATACTATATATCAAATTGATAATCCTGGCTAATTTCAAGTATAGAACACTTTCTAATATAGGTTATGGTGTATTGTAGTCAATTTAGATTAATTCCATTTCATAGAACCTGTTTTATGCTGGATAGTAATTAAGATCGATTTCTGTTATCAGATCATATATCATGTATTATATATTTAAATAGTTATTCCATTATAAGGAAATTGCTAAGATAGGTTATGAATAAAGATGGCATCTGCAATTATAAATTAAGGATTATGGTATTACTACTTGTAACACAATTATTGAGGATTTTAATGATAAAAAATCTGCAATTCTGCAATTTGCAATTATCTGCAATTCCTCAATTATTCTACAATTTCTTAATCATTCTGTAATTCCGCATTTTTTCTCAATTCTTCAATTATTTCACAATTCCTTAATTATTTCACAATTCCACAATTATTTTACAATTATTTTGCAATTCTACAATTATTTCACAATTTTACAATTATACCACAAGTCTGTAATTATTCTGTAGGTTTGCAATTATTCTGCAAGTCTGCAATTATTCTGCAAATCTAGAAAATGGTTATCACACAAAGATAGGAAGAGAAAGAAAAGAGAGAGAGAGAAAAGAAACAGAGAGAGAGAGAAAGAGAAAAGAGTAGGAGAAGGAAAAAACCTTTAATCATACATCTGCAAAGTTGTTTTAATGATTTTAATTTCCACAGGTGTTTTTATGAACCAGTGAAAGGTGAAAAAGAAAGGTAAATATAAAGGTTTTATTTTTTTTTTTTTTAAAAAAAAAAAAGGAACCTTTAATTATATATCTGTGAAGTAGATTTCAACGATTTTGACTTCCACAGGTGCAGTAAAAGGTGAAAAGAAGAAGGGTAAAGGAAAGAACAAGGTAAGTATAAGATTTTATTTTTTTTAATAAAAAAAAAAAAAGAAAAAATACTTACCTTTAATTGTATATCTGCAAAGTTGATTTTGACAATTTCAACTTTCACAGATGTTTCCATGAACCAACAAAAGGTGAGAAAGAAAGGTAAGTATAAAGGTTTTATTTATTTTTTTTTTTTTTAAAAAAAAGAACCTTTAATTGTATACCTGCAAAGCCAATTTCAACAATTTCAACTTTCACAGGTGTTCTCATAAACCAGTGAAAAGTGGGAAGAAAAAGAGTAAAGAAAAGGACAAGGTAAGTATAAGATTTTATTTTTTTTAATAAAAAAAAACTTACCTTTAACTATACATTTGCAAAGCTAATTTCTATGATTTCAACCTCCACAGGTATTCTTATGAGCTAACAAAAGGTAAAGAGAAGAAGGATAAAAGCAAGGACAAAGTAAGTATAGATTTTTTTTTATTGAGTTTTTTTATTTTTTTTTTTAAAAAAAAGAAAAAAAGAAAAAAAAACTCACCTTTAACCATATATCCGCAAAGCTAATTTTTATGATTTTGACCTTCACAGATATTCTTACAAGCTAGTGAAAGGTGAGGAGAAGAAGGGTAAAAGCAAGGGACAAGGTAAATATAGGTTTTTTTTTAAAAAAAATTTTTTGATTATCAAGTTATGCAAACTTGCAGAATGATTGAGAAATTGTGAAATAATTGAGAAATTGTGAAATAATTGAGAAATTGTGAAATAATTGAGGAATTATAGAACAATTAAAAAATTGTGGAATAATTGAGGAATTGTGAAACAATTGAAGAATTGCAAAACAATTGAGGATATATAGATTAATTTGAAATATACAGATTTTTATTACAATTTCATTTAAAAAATTTGCAATATTGAGAATTTGAAAAAATAAATGAGGATACTATCTTTATACTTGACAAATATAATTATAATTTACTTGCATTAAAATAGTTATTGAAACTTGTATGTAATAGTAAGGAGTATTTTATTTCAATTAATTATGTATGAGGTCAAGAACAAGCTTGAAGTGAACTGTGTAATTACATCTTAGAACAATATGCCTTTGGTATCTGATTAAATTTTTCAGAAGACAAATTCTGTCAATTCGATATTAAAAAAAAACACATAAGCTATGAGGAACTGGAAGAATTATTATATACTATCCTCAAGTCTAAGGCTAGAAAAATGATCTTTGTAAAAAGTTGCAAATACATTACGAAAAGCTACTCTTATATAGTAAAAATATTTCTGTATCTGAAAATGTCTCCAGAGATAATACCAATAAATAAAAAATAGATTTAAGTAGTAGCTAATAGGCAAATCATATTTGTTTTATTTTTCTTATCTCTTCTAGCATCTTTTTTACTACTTAATTTTTCTGTTTCATTAAGTGTAAATGTTATTACATTAGATATTGAATTGAATATACAAACAGATCTAGTTTTAGATTTGAAACTTCTCTTTTTTATTTCTTTATTGAGAAAAGTAATAGATTCCAAATATATATCAGAAAATTTTTAATAGCAAATATATCCAGATATATTTGAGCTGAATATATTCAGATATATTTGACCACCCATGTATTTATTCATATTAAATATTCGAATTTATCCAGATAAATATGTAAATATGTTCGCATATATTCATTTATTCGAATTTATCCAGATATATTTTCAAATATATTCGTATATATTCGTGTATTCGAATTTATCCAGATACATTTTTTCAAATATATTCGCATATATTCGTATTATATATGTTCCCAAAATTGATTTTGGATTTTTGAGGTATTTCAACTTTTTGAGATTTATGCAAAATCTATTCTATA